GTGAATGACATATTCCACTATCCTGAGAAGGTGAAAGAAATCAATGGTACTTTGATTTGCTTAATCCCCAAGAAAGATAGCCCAGAAAACATGAAAGATTTTAGATCTATTAGTCTTTGTAATGCTGTTTATAAAACCATTACAAAGATTATTACAGAGAGGTTGAGAAATATACTGCCTAAGATTGTCTCCCCGAACCAATGCAGCTTCATAAAAGGCAGACAAGGTACTGATAACATAATCATAGCTCAGGAGGTCATTCATTCAATGAGAGCCAGGAAAGGTAATAAGGGTTGGATGATGATAAAGGTTGATTTGGAGAAAGCCTATAATCGTCTTGATTGGTGCTTTATTCTGGAAACAATGAAGGAGATTGGTCTTCCTGGTTCTCTTGTTGACTTAATTTACAGTTGTATATCCACTACATCTATGAGTCTGCTTTGGAATGGAGTGAAAACTAGAAGTATTAATCCTGGGAGAGGCATCAGGCAAGGGGATCCTATCTCCCCTTACCCGTTTCTGCTGTGTTTGGAAAGATTGGCTCACCTTATCAATGTGGCAGTAGAGACAAAAGCATGGAAGCCTATTATACTAAGAAAGAATGGTCCTCCCATTTCTCACTTATTTTTTGCTGACGTCATTATCTTGTGTGCTGAAGCTAGTTTGGACTAGGCCCATGTGATTAATCAAGTTTTGAAACTATTTGCTGGAGCTTCTGGGCATAAAGTAAGTAAGGACAAAACGAGGATGTTTCTCTCAAAGAATGTATGTCTAGGGAGAGCAAAAGAAATCAATGAATCTCTTAGTATAGGGATTACCCCTGATTTGGGGAAGTACCTTGGAGTTCCTCTTCACCACAAGAGGGTAACAAAAAGAACTTTCAACAATGTGTTGGAGAGAGTTCAAGGGAGACTATCTGGTTAGAATCAAACATCTTTATCATTGGCAGGTCGTTCTATTTTAGCTAAGTCAGTCTTAGAGGCAATGCCTGCTTACTCTATGCAGGCTGTTGTTCTTCTTGTTGGTGTCTGCAAGGATGTGGAGAAATTAACAAGGGACTTTATTTGGGGCTCAACCCAAGCTAAGAGGAAAACCCACCTTGTGAGTTGGAAAAAAGTTTGTATGTCTAAAAGTCATGGAGGGCTGGGATTCAGGGACCAGAAGCTGGTTAATAGAGCTTTTTCTATGAAGCTGGGTTTTGAGGTGCTGTCTAATAAGGAGGATCTTTGGATCAGAGTGCTAAGGAGTAAGTATAACGTTGAGGACTCTTTTAACCCTGTTATCAAAAATAACATCACTACTTCCAATTCCTGGAAAGGGATCCAAAAGTCTTGGGGACAGATTCTAGAGGGTTCCAGAATTATCGTAGGAGATGGGACTAAAACCTCTTTCTGGATGGATAGATGGGTTCCAAATGTGGGCAGGTTGGTGGACCACGCTGTTACCAACATTTCTAATGAGGCTAAGAGATGGATGGTGTGGGATTGTGTCAAAGAAGGAGTTTGGGATTGGGACATGCTAAATTCTCTTCTGCCTAGAGAAATTCTGGATATTCTAGGGACTCTTAACCCCCCTAATAAACTTGAGGGTCAAGATAGAGTGATTTGGACTCTATCCAATTCGGGTTCATTCACCATTGAATTTGCTTATGCCTATCTGTCCAGTCATTGTAATGAGGGTAGCCCTAGGAATTGGAATTGTTTGGAAATGGGAAGTTCCACAGAGGGTTAAATTCTTTCTCTGGTTGTTGACTGGAAGTAAACTTCTTACAAATGCTGAGAGAGTCAGGAGACATATGACAACCATTACTACTTGTCCCAGATGTCATGGTTGTGTGGAGGAGGATAATCATGTGTTTAGGAACTGCTCTTGAGTTCGTGAGGTTTGGAACTATTGGATTGAGGATAGAGAGTTGAATTCTTTTCTGAGTAATAACTTGGAGAGCTGGTTGAACAAGAACCTCAGTAGAGATAAGAAGAATAGGAGCTGGAGGTTAACATTTGGAGTGATCTGTTGGTTTGTTTGGAAGGACAGAAATAGGCTAATTTTCAATGGCAAGGGATCTTCCTCTATGGAGTTTTTCTCACAGGTTTCGCTCTTTGTCAACAATATTAAGGTGGCTAATGAAATTCTAACAGGTGCTGGATTAGCTATGGAAAGATATGAAGAGATTATGGTTAGTTGGTCCCCTCCCCCAGTCGGTTGGGTTAAACTGAACTTTGATGGCTCTTATTCAGGCAATGGTTTAAAAGCTACTTGTGGTGGGTTTGTAGAGATGAGACATGAAGTTGGATTATGGGATACTTTAAGAAACTGAATCCAGAATCAGTGTTGATTGCAGAACTATGGGGCCTCTTGGTGGGATTGGAATGGGCTTGGGAACAGAGGTACAATCAGGTTATCTTAGAAGGAGATTCTTTAATGGGGATCCACTTGGTGAAGGAAGGTTGTGTCAGCTCTGATCCATGTTTCTCATTGGTGTCCAAGATCAGGATGCTGTTATTGAAGGATTGGAGGGTAGAGATTGGACATGTGTACATGGAGGGTAATCAGGTGACCCACTGGATGGCTGCTAATGGCAATTTTTCTAGTTGGTCTACTCAGTGGTATGAGAGAGCTCCGACTGGGTGTGAGATGCTAATTGTTGAGGATACAAAGGGCAATATGTTGCCCAGATACGTTAGTCTGTAGTTGTCTTTTTCTTTCCTATGTATACAAAAAAAAAATATTTAAAATTTAAGCTATTATGCTATTTAAACTTTAACTTATATAGTAATATTGTTGAACATTTATCTCTACTTATTAAATTGAAATAAATTATTTGAGTGACTTGATTTTTTATTTTATTCTTTTTCTTAGAATAACGTAAATTGATTAAAAATAAAATATTTAAAAAATAAATAAATATATTAATACTAATCTTTTATTTCTAATTTCTAATTTCTAATTTCTAACATCTAAATATATTTCTCGAGTTTAAAAAAAATATCAAGCAATAAGTCAAAGACAAAAGAATGATTTAAGCCAATAATTTTTTTAATGTAACTATATGAATCATATCGTAAGATTGATTAATAAATCTAAGTGTATTACATAACAAAATAACAACATGTGAATATTTGTAAACAAACATATCATTGCATCCTGTAACTAGAATTTCATGAGCATCTATTTTGATCCTGTAACATATCATTCCATTTTATCTGGATCTTTGTAGTATAATTTTATCGGCTTCCTGTTAATATGTATCCCGTTAACACAATAAAATATCAAGAGAAATTTTGAATTAACATATGATATTAGGATTTTTTTTTTATCTTTTTCTGAATATGAATTTACTTCTATATACCTAAATTAAGAAAGTTCTGGTGAAAGAACAACCACATAAAAATTACCCTAGACACTATCAGCCTAAATATGAATTTGTCTTTTTTTTTTCATGACATACAAGTCCATTGTCGAAACTCAAAAAACAAGCCCAAGGAACATGAAGATTCAGAAAAAAATTGGACACTGACAGCCTAAATAATTCAGCCCAGCAGCGTTGGATTTGTCAATTAACTAATTATAAAAATGAAAAAAAATGAAAAATTGGATCCATTATGAGCTTGCTAATTTTAAAGGCAGAACGATTTGGACTAAACATAATATTAGAATTGATTTTTTGAAAACCCAATCCGTGTTTTGGACGATTCAGCAGCCAATTTTGACATCTCAATCTAAAAAAATAACTTTATGGCAGGAAATAATCCAAACTAAAAAATATACTAAAATATCGTCAAAACTTAGAAAGTGGAAAATTTATATTAATTCAATTTATAATGTGCCGTGATTTACGAGAAGAAAACTGTTTGTATTTATGTAAGTAATAATAAATAATAAAGTAACGCCAAGAGTAGTTTCATTAAAGTGAAAAATCATTTTAGAGAAAAAAATATAGAATTATAATTTTCAATTAAAAATTAATAATTAAGATTATCATAAAATACGTACGCATGTATAATACGTTATTCAAATTATTAAAATGTATTATCTAATTTTTTAATTAATAATTATAACCATAAACTTTTATCATTAAATATAGAATTTTATAAGAGTTATGTTGTAAGAGAAGTGATTGTGTAATGTTATAGCTAGTCGTTTTACATGCCGTAATTTCTTTTTCTTTTTTTTTTTTCTTCAAAAATATGAGCATCACAAAATATTGCGTGTGTAAAAAAATTTGTTGTGTCATGTTAAATGACAAATGCAAAACTCTTAAATATATGTACTCCTCTCCTTGAAGAACTAAAATCCTAAAATCTTTTTTCTTAGGAAAACATAAAACGTGGAAGTTAAAACATTCTACAAACTGCTGTACATAATCATGAATGTAAGTGTTGCACAAAAAGTAATGACAATTTTTTACTGATTTATATTCTTTTCACAATTTTTAATCATGGAAAAGATACTGTGACAACCAAGTTGTGTTACTATCAAGTGACTATCAATTAATCTCACCGTTAAATCGATTATGTTGATCTAACGGTTATATTTACTTCAATCTTTGGTATGGTTATGATTTCCCTTATTTAAAGTGAAAGCATTAAATATGAGAAACCATGACCATACAAAGATGAAAATAAATATAACCGTTGGATCAACATAATCGATCTAACGGTGAGATTAATTGGTAGTTGTCACAATATCCTTCCCCTAAAATCATTATTAAATCTCATAAATGAAATTTTCGTACGGAATTCCAGATTGGACGGCCAGGATGGCCCAAGAGTGAGATGGAACCATGATCGCCGTCCGTCGGGATCCACGTGAAGGTGGAATCCTCGTATGAAAGCGAAAAGATCCTTGACTTGATTCCACTACGTTCCCAAGGTGGTCAACTCCTAGGCGAGGTAGCGAGTTGCATCGAAGACGTAGAAGAAAATTGTAAGGAAGAAAGAAGAAGAAGAACGCGAACGACGATGAGTGCTGGTCAGTGCGAACTCGTCGGCCATGAAGAAATGCCCTTCGGATCGGTCTGGTGGTTCGTCTATGCCGGGATCTCAGCTTTCCTCGTCATCTTCGCCGGGATCATGTCCGGTCTAACCCTAGGTCTCATGTCTCTCGGACTCGTCGACCTCGAGATTCTTCAGCGCAGCGGTTCTCCCAAGGAGAAAAAGCAAGCAGGTTTTTTTTTGGTCTTCGATTCCATTTCGTTTATTTTTAGCATCGCGTGTGATCGAATATTCTTTTAATCTTATTGGATTATGAAACCTCTGATGATGAGTCGTCAACGTGCTTTCATTGTTAGCAATGGAGTTGCATCTAAGATTTTGTGTGCGCGTATTATGCAGCGGTTATACTTCCCGTGGTTCAAAAACAACATCAGCTTCTTGTGACTCTGCTTCTGTGTAATGCTGCTTGCATGGAGGTAATAGAATTGAAATGATCCTTTTCATATGAAAGTTTCATTAATTATAAGTTAGAATAACATGCACTGTTTGTTGGAGGAGAGGTTATTTCAGTCCCGTGCAAAGTTTTCAATGAGAAATCACTCAGGAATGAGGACTTCTACGAAAATAACTTCTTCCAAATAGTTCCTTGGTGCTTAAATTAAAACGAGACTGTGTTACAACAAAATATGGATTTAGCAGATTGGAATAACTTATTTGAAACTGTCATGATGATTGGATTTGCTCTAATTGCTGAATTTGCTTTTTCAACGACAGAGGCTTTGCTGAGTGACTGTGTGCGCATTTATGCTTGATATTGGTTGTGTATGCACTCCAAGGTGTTTCCTAATCATACGTAACTTCTAAACTGCCGTTGACTTTGAAACTTGCAATTTGCAGGCCCTTCCGATATACCTAGATAAGATGTTCAATCAGTTTCTTGCTATCATTCTCTCTGTGACTTTCGTTCTGTTTTTTGGGGAGGTATGTTATTGTGCCATCTTTCCTTATAATGTAGTAGATATTATATTTCGTTATCTTTCGTCTCTTTCCTTATTTTTCCTCTCTGATTTTAGGTTATTCCACAAGCAATTTGTAGTAGATATGGCCTTGCTGTGTGTGCCAACTTCGTATGGCTTGTGCGAGTTTTGATGATAATCTGTTACCCAATTGCTTATCCCTTCGGAAAGGTGATTTATCATACATAAGTACCAGTCCTTCTAGTATACGAACTGTTGATGGGGTTGATTTATGCATTAGAATGTAGATATTATATTTCTTTCCATTCTATTCGATAACCAGTATAATGTGATTGAGAAGAGAACAAAAAGGTGGAAAACTGGAAATTAATAGCAATAGCATATCATCCATAGTAGTTAAAAGAGCCTATTGCGACTAACCGGAAAAATACAGCGGGTTGCAATTGGCGAAGCCATAAATTTAGGTGACTAGGATAAAAATAAAAAATACTATATTATAAATAAAAGTATTTGAAATATAATACAGACTTAATATATAATATTATTACAATAACCACTTAAAAATCACAATCGAAGATCAGTATTCGGTTTTTTCATCCTTCTTTTGTCCCTAGTATACACTGCACCACTTAATTCGATAAACTCGATACACACTGTCAGAAATAGTTGACCAATAGTTGAAAAAGAAACTCATAGGTGAAAGAGTTTCCTAATCCAGACGAGAGAATAGATTTACTAGCTAAACCTATTGGATTGATTGTGTCGTTCTAATTGTATATGTGTATTTGTAATTTATGTTTCTGATCAATTTTTGAATCCTATGCTAATTTGAGCATTCAAGTTTCCCCTAAGCTTATTTTTTTTTGTAAATTCCCCTAAGCTTATTTTGCATATGTGTAACTTATGCTCACTGGGGCAATGTTAATTACTACTTGAGTTTTGTTCTTTCACTCAAGAAGTAATAACAAAAAAAAAATTTAGTCATATTTTATGCTCATTTTTCTAATTATCTTGTTATATACCATGTGCAGATTTTGATATTTGCTTATTACTATTTGTATTTTTTTTATAAATGAATCAAGTCTCTTAACTAATTGGTATTTTTGGAGAGGAGGGAGAACTGTAATATGTTATGTTAGTAAAACAAAGAATATTACTTAAAAAAAGCTAGTTATGTATATTGTATCACTTATGTTAGTAAAACAAAGAATATTATTTGTAAACAAGAATATTAAAAAAAATTTCCTCTCTAACATTTACTCAAAAATTGAAATGATCATCTATATATGAGGGATGTCGATAGAGTTGAATTGATGGGATAAAAAAATGTTAAAAGAAGACCATGGTTATTTTGTTAGTATAGACTGAATTTTATTTTAAAAACAGAGAAAAAATATAGATTTAAATGAAATTGGGTTATATTAAGAAAATGTTATAGTAGAATAGAACCTCAAATACGTTGTTGTTTAATATAAAAACAATTAGTTATGTACATATAGGCTACTGCTGCACATTGCAATATTGCATTAAAATATAATACAAAATGATATCACTTGTATTTGTTGTGTTTGTGGTCATTTGTGTTGTTAAAGTAAACATTGTGATAATTCGCTTTCGGCTCTAGGTTTTCATTACTTTGACTTAGCTAGAAAATTGAAGGTATATTGTATCACTTATGAGTTATAGTGCATTTATACGGTTGTTTATCTTATGATAACATTAACTGCATTGGTTTTTAAAATTTTAGGGGCGCAGGGGCCACCCCTAACCCCTATGTAGCTCTACCCCTATTGCGGTTGTGAAATAGCGGAGTGAATCAATAGAATTTAGACACACACAGTTATACTCAAAAATAAAAACAGCCAATCATAATAAAGAATTGTTCCAAAACAAACAAGAATTTCAATTAGAAGCCAGAAAAAATGAGGTTAAAAAAGAAAAGAAAAACACAAACAGCCAGAAAAAAAATTAGGCAAGAAAGCACAACCAGAATCCATAACATAGAAAAAAAATTTGGCAAAAAAAATCTCGAAAAAAGAGAGGCTTTAATATATGGGTTCCCTTTCTCTCTCCGCTCTCTTTCAACACCTTTCTTCTTCTTCTATTTGAAAATAAAACCCAGAAAAAAATAAGAAACAAAACTACAAAAAAAGGCCAGAAAAAATGCCAGTAAGAGAGAGCATGGCGGACACAAACGTTTTGTTTCTTTTGGTGAAGAAGAGCAGACATGCGCGAGAGAAAGCAAGGAGGCTAATGGTCTGTTTGATTGTGTTCTGGTTTTTTTGTTCTGAAAACTGTTTTGTAAAATAGTTATGGAAACAGTTGTTTTCTATATTTTTTAATTTTTGAAAGTTAAAAACCAAAACAGAAAACAAAAACAACCTAGACATGTTCTTTAAATTTGATTCTAAAAACAAAAAAAACAATAAAATATTTTATACAAAATAGGCCTTACCAAACGAGTTTTTAGTTTTTTGTTCCGAAAACAAAAAACTGTTTTTAAAAACAACAATCAAACAGAGCCTAAGTTATTTCTTTCAAATAGAGGGAGTTTTAAACCCTGAAAAGACTATAATGCCCTTAAAATAAGGGCAAACTTGTATTTTGCGCCGTATCAGCAACCATTTTTTCGTAATTTCACGACAAATCACCAGCGATTTCACAGCAAATGCTGCCGCAATGGCAGCTATCCAAGTCCGGAGCAGCGTGGTTCCTCGCTGCTAGACACCATTACTGGAGAACAGTGCAGGTTGCCATGCTAAAGCGGCCTATTGACTACTATTATATGATCTCAAGATGTTTCCATTAAACTTCAATGTGAAAAATCATAGTAGTTAGTTGCGCCGCGAGCCGTGCCGTATGGGAATTGCGGTGCCTCTCCGCAAGAAATCGCCCCACGCCGCACTGGAACACAATAGAATCCATTGTGTCGCAATTTCTGCCAAATCACAGTTATATTGTTGTCATAAGGCAAAATGTCCATTTTATCTTAAATTTAAATAAGTAACAGAAAATTTTTAAGGATTTTTTAGTTTATATGTGTTCCTCTCTGTCACTTTCGATATATCTGTCTTTAAAAAATGTGTCTTTTTTTCATTATTTCCTTCGTATATCTATTCCGCTATTTTTGCAACCGCAACCTGCTATAGTGCTATAGCATTTTTCGGGTTTGGCTGCGACATGCCACAAATATGCATTTGATAACTTTGGCAAAGATGCATATAATAGATGTATCATGGATATACAAATTAAGGTCTTTTTCTAGTATTGCCTGGTTTAGAACAGTGTTTTAGTAGGTTATCAAATGAGCAATGTCATAGGCATGCTTTTTGGCTGAAACCCGGCTCATTAGTCTTTTGTCTTTTCTGACTCAAATAACCCTTCACAATGTTGATTCAGATCAACTTATAGAATGATTGGTGAGATTGGTGAGATTATCATGCCATAAGGGTTTCTTTTGCTCACAGATATTTGTTCCAGGTTCTAGATTGGCTGTTGGGACATAATGAGGCTTTATTTAGGCGTGCTCAGTTAAAAGCTCTTGTCTCCATCCATGGCAAGGAGGTATGAAAATAATAAAATATTATTCTTTTGAATTTGTGATTGTGATTTAATCAGAGAATGAGTCATGTCAAGATTGGTGAAGTTATCCAAATATTACCGTTATAGTTATAAGTTATTGGTGTTTAATTAACAAATGTTTAATTTTCTTGTTTTCAGGCTGGGAAAGGCGGTGAGCTTACGCATGATGAGACAACAATTATCAGCGGAGCTCTGGATTTGACTGAAAAGGTAAACACCACAATTCACCGGCCGCATATGTTAAATGTCAACCTATTTATTACTAATTTATTAAATTATAATACAATACAATTTGCAAATTATGAGATTCAGTGCATCAGAGTTTGAAGTTTTCTTTCCTATTTATAATTTCAATAAACATATATGATGATGGAATGTGGAGACATGTGAAGGTTGCTTCATGGATCTGGTAACAACTTCTAACTAGTTAGTTACTTATGTCAAGGATTTTGGCAATCGAATGGGGAACTGCTAAAATATTGTCTTATTCTTTTTCATAAGGCCTATGAAAGTGCCACTCCTTCTTGGTGTAAATTTTACCATCCACTTCGAGTGATCTTGTGTTCTAGAACTAATACTTTGTCGTTCGTACTTGAGTTTTCTCTGTACTTTACCTCATTATTAATTATCATGTTGTATGGTGTGACTACTGCAAGGCATATTTTATACATCCTTTTTACAGTGTACTTCTACACAAATTTCCTTGCTCCCTCCCTTATGTATTTTTATTTTGATCAGATTGCTGAAGTGGCTATGACTCCTATTGAATCAACTTTTTCTTTGGATGTTAATTCAAAATTGGACTGGTGAGTGTCTCATTGCAACTTAGTTTATCTGACTAAATTTTATTCATTTGGACCAAACTTGCATTTTATTGATCTTAGTTTATTCTCTTGCTAAGAGTTTAATTATTTTTTATATTAAGCAATACTCAATTGCAGAGATTATTATTATGCTAATTATTGGATTTTTGTGATATATTGTGGGTTTTTTTAATGATGTAAATGTTAGTTTTAGCTAAATGTTTATTTAAGAATATGGAAATATGAATATTGTGTGTATAACTGTACAAGAGAGCTCTCTGTTTATAAAGACTAGATGACCTAATGGGTTAAGCTCAAAGAAGCTTCTAGAGGCTAAATAATAAAATAATAATAATATAATATTATTTCTAATAATCCCCCTCAAGCTGACACATATATATCATAAGCTCTCAGCTTGTTATATATGTAGTCTGTTCGGGGACCTCTAAGAGCCTTTGTGAAAATATCTGCAAGTTGATCACTGGAACTGACAAATGTTGTCTCGACCTCTCTTGAGTGAATCTTTTCTTGAATGAAGTGACAATCAATTTCTATATGTTTGGCCCTCTCATGAAAGATTGCGTTGGAGGATATGTGCAATGTGGCTTGGCTATCACAAATGAGTTTCATGGGCCGTTATTCATAGAGACGTAGTTCCTTATTCAATTGTTTTAACCAGATGGGCTCACAGGTTGTATTTTTCATTGCCTGATATTCTGCATCTGCACTTGACTTGGCTACCACAGTTTGCTTCTTACTTTTCCAAGAGATCAAATTTCCTCCAAGGAGAACATAATACCATGAAATGGAGCGTCTCTCTAAAGGAGAACCTGCTCAGTCAGCATCTGAATAGCTACAAACTTTTGTATTCCCTTTATTTGCGTATAATAAACCCATTCTTGGTGCTCTTTTGATGTATCGGAGAATCCTGATAACTGCATCCCAATGAGAGTCGCAAGGAGAGTCAAGAAATTGACTTGTCATACTAACCGCAAAAGAAATGTCTGGCCTTGTCATAGTAAGATAGTTCAGTTTTTCAACTAAACTGCGGTAATGATAGGGGTCTGCCAATGGCTCTCCCTGTCTAGGTAATAGCTTGGCATTAGGATCCATATGTGAATCAACGGGTTTACATCCCAACAGTCTCATATAGGATATCCAAGGCATACTTTCTCTGACAAATAGAAATGCCCTGCCTAGACTATGCCACTTCGATCCCTAAGAAATAATGAAGTCTGCCAAGGTCTTCGGTCTGAAATTCATTAAACAAGTATTTCTTTAACTGATCAACCCCAGCTTGATCGTCGCCAGTAATAATGATGTCATCAACATAGACCAGGAGGTAGATGCATTGATCAGAAGAGCTATGTCGATAGAAAATAGAATGATTGGCTTCAATTTGGGTTAAGCCGAAGACTTGAACAAAAGAACTGTTGTGACTAAACCAGGCCCAAGGAGATTGCTTCAGGCCATATAAGGATTTACAAAGCTTACATACCATTCTAGAACACTCTCTTTGAGCAACAAAACCTGGTGGTTACTCCATGTATACTTCTTCCTGCAAATCACCATGTAAGAAGGCATTTTTGATATCAAATTGAAGGAAGGGCCAACGATGAATGGCATCAAGTGAAAGAAACAAGCGAATAGAAACCATCTTGGCAACAGGAGAGAAAGTTTTCCCATAGTCAAGGCTAAAGATCTGAGTGTATCCCTTGGCCACTAAGTGGGCTTAAGGTGGTCAACATTTCCATCAAGACTAACTTTGATTGAGAATACCCATCGACAGCCGACTTCTAGGGAAGAGCGCAGACAAGATCCCATGTGCCATTGGAGTGAAGTGTCATCATTTCGTCAATCATCGCCTGGCGCCAACTGGCATGAGATAATGCTTAACTTGTGATCTTAGGGATGGAAATAGAAGAAAATTAGAAACAAAGGTAAAATATTGTGAAGAAAGTCGGTCATAACTCAAGAAAACTTAAAGGGGATGAGGTTGCGAGCTGATAAGATACCTTTGCGATGGGCAATAAGATTAATCTTTGACAGAGGATCCGGAGGGGAAGAGACAATCGTTGAGGGCGGTGAGTCAGTTGGAGTAGGGCCGACACTTGTAACTGGTAAAGACAAATCAACAAGAGGAATAAGAAGAATATGATTAATCTGTGACACAGAAGTTTGGGAACTAGAAAAGGGTTGCTAATCCATAAAGTCTGCAGACGCAATGTAACGCTTGAGGCCAGGAGAGCAGCAACGATACCATACCCCTTTTGAAAGCGAGTATAACCAAGGAAGATGCACTTGAAGGTTTTGAATGTTAATTTGTGTTTTTCCATAGTGAGGTCATGAAAAAAGCAAGTGTATCAATATACGTGCGGAGGCAATGGATATGGAGGAACACCTTATAATAGCATCTGCCCAAAAACATAGTGGAAAATTCATACGAATGAGAAGGGTATGTGTTGTTTCCACTAGATGTCTATTTTTACGTTTGACCACTCTATTTTGTTGTGAAGTGTGAGGACAAGCGGTTTAGTGTAACATCCCATGTTTCTCTAAGAAATCAAAAAATTCAAGATACACATACTCTTTTTACATTATCAATGCGTAAGATTCAAATAGAAGCACTGAATTGAGTATTAATCTCAACATAAATTTTTTGATAGATAGAAAATAATTCAAAATGATTTTTCTTTAAAAAAACTCAAGTACAACGAAAAAAATCATCAATAAAAGTCACAAAATATTGAAAAACCAAAGCAGACATAGTTCGACTCATACCCCAAGTTTAAAAATGAACAATAGAAAAGAGACCATTAGCTCTTTTATTGACTCTATTGGCAAAGGAGGAGCGAGTGTGCTTTCCATGCCGACATGACTGCCAATTTAAAGACTGAAGACTGGACAAAAAAGGAACCATATGCTGAAGCTTGGAGAGACTTGGATAACCCATACGACTGTGGATTAGTTCAGGAGAATCCATGAGAGAGCATGCCGTTGGAGAACGAGGCACAGTCAAATACTAAAGACCTCATGACTAACAGTCCGCTCGAATCGTCTTCCTTGTAACCCGGATCCTACTTAGAGGCAGATTGGTTAGAGAAGGTAACAATGGATGAATATAATGAATCAACTAGTTAACAAAGATTAAATTGAAGGGAATTCCAAGTATATAATAAACAGAGGTCAAGGTCAAATAGGGAGTTAGGTTGGCTCTTCAATACCACGAGGACAAGCCTTGGTGCCGTCAGTAAGAGTAACAGAAGGTAGATTATTAGAATAAGTAAGGGAGGTACAACGATCCTTATTACCATAGAGATTATCAGTAGCACCTAAGTCTATTATCCAGAGTCCAAGTGATGACTGAGAAAGACAAGAAACATGATTACCAGTTTCTTGGGCAGGAGTCTAGGAAGAAACCCTTTTTAGAAGAGCCTCATAATTTGCACTCGAAATGGTTACTGATCCAGTAGTACGTGGCGCAGCATCAATCTGAGCACAATTGGCAATTTGTGGCTTCAAGTGAAGGTACTTCCTGTAGTAACGTTCTTCAATGTGTTTAAGGTTCTAGCAGTAGTTGCAATGAAGCCTCTGTCTGCAGCCACCTTGTTCACGGCCACATCCGCAACTGCATCCAATGTTCCAATTGGAATCATTGGTACAAGAGATGAAGGCAGTTGAAACGGTGGCTAGCACATGCATAGATGTCGGTGTTGCTTTTTCTTTAAGAATCAGGAGGCACTGAAAAGTCTGTGATAGGCTAGGAGTCCCAGCACTAGTTAGGATATTCTCATGAACACTTTCTAGCTCCTCTGGAAGACCAAAAATGGTTACAACCATAAAGAAACACTTCACCCGCTTCTTGTACTCATAGGCATTTGCAACATGAGGTAACATAGCTAAAAATTCCTGCATCAAAGAATGAATCTTACCAATATAAGCCTCAATTCGAGCATATGGTGATTTGGGCAATTCCATTATTTGAGAAACAATAGAGTAAAGTTGCTGAATGTTGTTGGTTTAGAGGCTTTTGGCTTCCTACCAAATATCACAACAGGTCTAAAAGGGGATGAAAATATCTATAACTGCCGGATCAATGGATTGTCAAAGGATTCGCAGTAGCTGTGCATCAATCTTTTCCCAATAAGATTTTTTATCCTTGGGAATATCAGCAAACTTGGTCGTGAGATATTTTGCGTGTCCTTGACCAGTAAACCAAATCTTAATGGAGGTAGACCAAGTCTTGTAAGTTGTAGATCCGATTAGTTTCATGGTTGTAACGGAGGGGACAGTACGGAGATAACATTGGTAGTGCTTTTGTTCTCATTACATGAACCTTCCATCACAAATCACATGTAAATCTGCAAAAAAAAGGCAATTGGAGAATAACAGGGAAACAAGGAATTGCGCGATAAACGTCGTAAAAACTTACCAATCAATGAGTTTTTCGCCAGAATCTTCCTGTGCGAAGACCAGATTTGGAAAGAGTACGATGAGGCGAGCAAGAAAATGGTGGTCCGGCCCGGAATGGTAGCCGGACGGTGGCGCAAGCACCAAAAAAGGGTGTCATCGCCAGAAAACTCCACCGGCGCGTGGCAGCTATTGTGGCGGCGCGGTTTGGACAGAATTGATCGCCTCTTCGTGCTAGTCCTGGTCGCATAGGTGTTCGTGAGAAAAGTCACCGAAAAAGTGCTCCGTCGGTAGGGGTGTTCGTCAACCGAACCAAACTGATTCAAACCGCGGTAACCGAACCGAAAAACCGAAAACCAAAAAAAATCGCAAATTTTAATTGGATTGGATCGGTGTTTGGATTGATTGATGAGAACTGATTCAATCCAAACCGATCCAATATATTAATTCTCTTTTACCTACTTGGGCCTTTTCCCAATCATATCCTTAAAGTTTCTAAACCCAAGACCCATTAACCCCTCAACTAAATTCAAGAAAAAATCTAGTCACATCTCATCAACAAAGTTTTATTTGTGTAGAGCTTCATATCTTATTGCCAAAAAAATAAAAAATTATTGTTTACTGATACTTTTGTATTTCAAAAGAAAAAAAATTTACAAAGCCAATATATACAAAAGATGTTATTTGCACAATAATTATGAAACAAATTTAAGGATTTTCAAAAATCTGAAAACCGATACAATCCAAACCGAAAAAATTGGATTAGATCCGATCGGATTTGAAAAAAAATCCAAACTGAATCGATGATTACATGATCAAACTGAAGGGATTGGATCGGATAATTTTTGCTTCCAAAATCGATCCAATCCAGACCGCAAACACCCCTATCCGCCGGCATGAACAGTGACAAATGATGGTTTTTTCCGATGAACAATGTTTTTTTTACTATCTGAGGATGGGGAACTGAAAGTGGGTTGCCGACATGATGCACGACACGGATGACTTGCCGGAATGACGCACGACAAGATTTTTATGCAAAAATTAGGTTTCCCATAACACAAGCTCTGGTACCAACTTAAAAATATAGAAATATGAATGTTGTATATTGTGTATACACTTTACAAGAGAGCTCTCTATTTGTAGAAGATTAAATGACCTAATGGGCTAAACCGAAAGAAGCTTCTAGAGTCTATAATAAAATAATAACAATACAATATTATTTATAACATGTCTAAACTTTGAAGTATTCTTCTCCCATCGTACTCAGTTTATTCTTATTGTGTTGAGTACTTGCTGTCTCATCATGTTTTATGCTTGAAACACCCCCCCCCCCAAATAATTGGTACAGACTAGCATATACACCCTTTCTACGAACCACAAAGTTTGTTGAGGAAGACTAAGTGTTGGACGGACAGATAGAGTAGAACAAAGCATAAGACAAGACCAAATCATATGAGCAAGGTGCAGTAAATCTAATGTATGAGTAAGTCAATTGGAGATTGCTAGGGCACAAATGTTAAAATCAGTATACGAAGCAATAATCCTTCGTTGATGTGAATGTTTCTATCTAGACAAATATTTCACATGTGACCTCAGCAATGTCCTTCTTTTTTCCTAACAGGACTGCTCCCATATCTGCCAAACATCCTCCTCATTAATCCAAATGCCAGCCACTGATGAACGCATCACACAAGTGTCCAATTAAGATACCATAATTTGAATGTTTTTTTATTTGTTGATATACTGATGGAACCCAAAAAATATAGCATTGATTTCATTAACAATGGAAGCATAGCCTCTTTTTACATACACTAATACAAAGATAAAATGCAGAAAATAAATCCCAAGAGACCTCAACTCCTAGAGATCCCCAAAATTTCCCCACTAACCAATTTTGAATTCATTCCCCCTCACACTCCCACACTCCCCTCCTTATATCCTATTATTTAAGAATGTTCTTTAATACTCTCTAACTAACTAACTAATTATCTCAGGCCCGTCACTAATTATCACAGGCCCTACAATACTCTCCTTCAAACATTCACCTTGTCCTCAAGGTGAGGAAGAGAGTAGGTGATATGAAAAAATATCTACCAGATCCCACTGGTTGAAGCATATTGACTAGGGGAGTAAATAGGCTAGGCTAGGCTAGGCTTTGGCTTAGATAGGCTAGGCTTGTGTAAACAACATTGGGTATGACCTGGCCTATTAGCCTATGTAAGCCCCAAATTACAAGTCTGACCTGACCTATATTTAAAAAATAAAAGCCTTGGCCTAGGTCTGTTAGCCTGTTTAAGCCTATTAAACATTCAACAATTAAAAGAATAACTAAAATAATATTATTTTATTATTCGAAATTATTAAAATAATATCTTTATTTATTATATTTTAAATAAATAATATGATATAGCCGGCCTGTAGACTTATAGCCCGACATGTACAAAAAAGCCTATGGCCTGTTTTCTAAATAGGTTTTTTAAAAGCCTAGGCCTCTTCTATTTTACTATTTATATAGGCCAAGCCCGACCTAATATACGCTAGGCTGTAGACCCCTGTAGGCCGACCTAGCCCAATAATATTGACCCTATTAGCAACTGCAACACATTCTTTTCATGAATCATATTATCCAAAATCCATCCAGCTATAGCAGACATATTGGGTGTGCATGACAATCTCCCCGGCATCAATTTTTTTTTTTTTAATTTATTTTCCTGGAAACAGAAATGGATAGAAAACTCGTTTGGAAAAAAAGGTTTATTTTTTTGTTCCTGGGATGAATCAGTTTAATTTTTGTGCTGGGGAATAGAAAAAAGAATAAAAATATTTCTGCTTTTTTGTTCTCGGGCACAAAATGAGAAACACTTTTCTTTCTCAATCACTCACCACCACCCCCTCCGACACGACCACCGACACCATCGTCGTCGCCATCGTCGTACCACCATCGTCATTGTTACCACCACCACGACGATGCCACTGCCCCCATCACCACCATTATTACCATCATCGCCATCATTACCACTACCATGCCGCCATCATTACCACAACCACCTTCACGTCACTGCCACCACCTTCATCACTACCACCACCGTCATCACCACTATCATCACTGTCACCACCACCACCATCATCGCCACCAATACCACCTTCATGCCACCGCCACCACTATCACCACCACCTCCACGCCACCATCACCACCACCATGCTACCATCACCACTACTAGCGCCACTACCATCACCACCATTACCTTCGCCGCCACTACCACCATAATCACTGCCACCAACCACCGCCATTATCACTGCAGCCACTGCCTTCACCACCATCACCATCCCAACGCCCATTATGTGGCCCATGCCCCCCTCTATTCATATCCCCCCGCCAGAATGATTAGCAAGTGTTGGTCTCCCAATTAGTGCTCTCATAATTCTAGGCCCAGTTTCATTTCGGCCCCTATTAAAGCTTCCCCTTCCCAACATCGTTTCCTTTCTTCCACCATGAACGACATCCCTCTTCTCAAATCAGTTAGATCATGAAATTGAACCTCAGCCTTAATTTCTTCCTTCAAGCTACTGCGAACAAGAGCTAGCCTTATCTCATCCTCCGTATGTTTATCTTATGCTCCTTCTACGACGTCTGCTTCTGTATCTTCTTCATCTGTTTTCGTCTCTTCTTCCTGTTCTATTTTACCTGCAACTTCTTCTCTCTCATCCACTGCTTCAACATTTTCTTCATCTTCTTTTTCTTTTTCTCCAATTTCTTATGCACCTTCAACTTCGTTCGATGCTTATTCACTGTGTCGATTTACTTCTTCCGCCTCTGCTACCTTTTTTCTTTTTTTCCTACCACATAAATCTCATGTAGGTATTTACTTATAAATGCCATGGTAAAATCCCATAATTTTGCATTAGGATTGAGACAATTCCAACACCTATACCAGTAGAGCGCACATCCTTTAAGCCCACTCAGGGTTTCTGCCAATTGTTCATCTTCTTCATTTATTTGTTTTTCTTGAAAATGTTGTTCCATAGCAATTTGTCATCCCCAAGCATTGTCTCTTTCTCCGTAAAATGTTGGAACCACTGTATCAGTAGAGTTTCTGCGTTTTTTTATAGATATGTTCCTCGATTTTTTTTATCAGATCTGGATCAGAAATATCCCCTAGATCAGACGTGCTCTGATATCAAATTGATGGAACTTAAAAAATATAGCATTGATTTCATTAACAATGGAGGTATAACCTCTTTTTATATAGACTAATACAAAGATAAAATACAGAAAATAAATCATAAGAGACCTCAATTCCCAAAATATACATACTAAATTACCTTCTGGCAAAGATTGATCAATTTAACTGACAATTGTTTGTTTCCTGCAAAGATTGATCAATTCAACTGACAATTGTTTGTTTAGTTGGCTGTTGAGTAACAAATTTGATCACAGTTGATGGTATTCTTTAATAGGATGTGAATAGTTGATTGGAAAATGGCTCTTTGATCATTTGCTTACTTTATAAGGATTTTTTGGTTGCTGAAGATATATTTTCCACTGCACCAATTACTAAAACACGTGGAAAACATTTCTCAAGGTATCTCCCACAAAATAAGTAGGACCTAACTAACTTCACTTGCATATTAAAAGTAGAATTCATGGTTAGAAAATACAAAGTATATGTATTCACTCTTACGTTTTTTAATTCCTTAAACCTATTTATGTTGTGAATCTCAAATCAGGGAAGCAATGGAGAAAATTCTTGCACGGGGGCACAGCCGAGTTCCTGTCTATTCTGGAAATGCAAAAAACATTATTGGGCTTCTACTGGTGTGTGTTAAATCTTCTCCATTTTGATTTTATGTTACTCTTTCACTTTTTATTACTTTCATAATTATCTCTTCCTCACCTACATTCTTTTGAAATTAGATCAAAAGTCTTCTCACTATACGACCAGAATCAGAGACCCCTGTCGGTGCTGTTTCCATCCGTAAAATTCCACGGTGAGTTGTAAAGGATTAACTCTCCTCAAATATTTAGTTGTTAAGTGGAGGCAAATAAGTGGTTTTTATATATTTAACACACACTCTTACACAAAGGCCCTTTGACTTTAAAGTTGGGATAATATTTTGGCTCATTTTACCTTACGGTGAAATGTAGTTTAATTAAAAATTGAAGTGGTAAGGATGAACTCTAACCATTCAGTCATATAACTTTACCTTGTCAAGAAAGTCTCTGTAGAAGCACATGAATAATTTATGATTATTAATTTATACTCTTGTTATTTTCATTCAAATTTAATGTCAAATATCATTAGTTTGTGTGATGTTCTATATTATATATGCAGAGTTCTATCAGATATGCCTCTCTATGATATACTAAATGAGTTCCAAAAGGGCGGTAGTCATATGGCTGCAGTTGTTAAGGCTAAGGGAAAAGGAAAAGGAAAAATGACCCCACAAACAATTGACGGAGAGAAACATGAGGAAAACACAAGGGTTGGTGGGGATTCGCAGTTGACTACTCCGTTACTACAGAAAAATGGTGAGAAGTCAGAAAATGATGTTGTTGACATTGACAAGCCTTTAAGGCCTCCCAGCATTAATAAGTTAACTGCTTTACAACATAGTTATGCCACAAGAAATGGTTTCTTTTCAGAAAATATTGAAGATGGTGAAGTGATTGGCATTATCACTCTAGAAGATGTATTTGAAGAACTTCTACAAGTAAATTACATTGATTTGAGATATTCCCTCAACCATTTATATATTTTTTTGTTAATCTCAAGACTGATTGTAATTGTTTCCAATGTTGCAGGAAGAGATTGTGGATGAAACAGATGAATATGTTGACGTTCATAAGAGGTAATGAAGAGTATATACTTTCAACACTTGATTTGTAGAGTTGGATGGATGGAACTGCTGTAAATCTGAATTTGAATGTTATTATGAATTTTATTTTGCAGAATACGTGTGGTTGCAGCAGCTGCAGCTGCTTCCTCAATGGCACGGGCTCCATCAATCCGAAGGTTGACTGGCCAAAAGGGAGGAGTAAGTGATCAATTATTACATTTTTCTTAAGAATGATCATAATGTTTATTTCATGTTTGCCGTATAAGTCATCCATTTTCTTTCTGGTTGAATTAAGAATTTTTTTTAAGGGGCTGGTATGCAGGGGTTCGGGCAGTGCATCTTTAGTTCTTTGTGCATGGTGTACTTATCATGCAACTGTAGATGATCTGGTAAGGCATTGCATAAGTTTTGGGACATGAATTTATTTACTTTTTCATTAAAAGAAATGATTTATATATTTGTTTTAAATAGTATAGACTTTTCCATTAAAAGCTTGAATCTTAATGTAAGACAGAATAATTAATGAGAATTTAACTGGGTTCAATGATGAGATTCTTGCTATTCAAATCCGTTTATGATAATTCCAAATTTATATTCCAGAAAGGCATTACTTATGTCATAGTCTCATTTCTTTTAAATTTCGCCCATTTTATGTAAATTTATTCAAGCATAACCTTTTACCTCTGAATATGCTTCATGGAAGTGAAATTATAATGTTAGTTATACATGAAATGATATGTTCCGAAGGAAATTGAATTGGAAATGTGATAAATGCTGTTTATTTTTTTTTTGAATAATTTTTATATATTCTGATAAACAACATAGTATTATAAATGCTGATTTAATGGTTCCTCTTTCTTTATGAAGAGCAAGATTAATAGGAGATTTTATACAGTTGCATACTTGCTCAGTGAACGTGTGGCTTCTGATCAATGAAAACGAACTATCAGTACATTACATAGTTGCTATATACTTGCACAGTGTATCCATGGCTCTTGATCAATGAAAATAAATTATCAGTATATCACACATGCACACATACCCATACACACTTGCAGGATTGCACCCACATAGAAAGATATTTAAAAAATAAATCAAGCACTATGAAAGTATGTCAAAATTTGTACTCTTATGTAACGTGAATCTTAAGGAACTGGTTCTTGCTTGTTATGATACCTTGTTCAAGCATATTTGCATCATATCAATTTTCAGCTTAAGCCATTTTGCTTAAACAAGTAGGCAGAGGAGTCTCATACGGTACATTTTTTTTATGGTGAATTTGTTTGCGGTACTGTTATATGACCCAAAATGCTTTTCTCACAAAAGATCACACCAGTATATAGGCCATGGATGACCTGTACAGGTAATTGATTTGACACTGTTAGAGATAAAATGGCTCCTCCTACGTAAAGGTGTTCCTTTTATCAACCTTTGGCTACGCAGCATTAAGTTGCAGATTCCCCTCTCTGATACTTTGTAATTCTAATAATTTGAAGTTATTTTTCTTAGCCTCCTGGGATGAGTAATGTATATCATATGTTTCAAAAAATTTATGCCAGAAAATGAATTTTTGTTTTGAGAAAGTTTTTGTTGCTTGAAAGCTGAATCTGTAAATCCAGCATAGATGATAATTTTTTAAATAATAATTCTGTGCTTTTTTTCAATGATCCAGGGGGGCCAAAGTAAGCCACCAGTAACTCCGAAGAAATCTTCAGGGGAGGATGTTGTGAACACTACAAGGTTACAATAAACTTCTGGTTAACCTATTTGTATTTTTTTTAGGGTGTCATAGTGAGGCTGTTATTCGTACTTTTGTGTCAACTATAATACCCTGGAGGAGTGTGACAACGTGTCAAAAGAATTCTGCTTTGAAGCTGATAATTAGCTATTAGAAATTTAGAATAATAAATAGGGAATGCAGAAAGTTTTTCCCTTGTACTCAAATTTAATTATTGAGTCTAAAATAGGGGGGGGGTTAGGAGAAATTATAGACTTGTGCATATTAGAATATTATTTCAAACTGATGTTAATGTTTTACAGATATTTGAGTATATTATAATATTTTAATATAAATTATAGATTTGTGTATATTTATCTGGTCATGAGATTAAATTAGTGATTCACTGGTTAACTGTTGTCCAATAGCTCAATCTAGTAAACGATCGGATCGAGTTTAATAACATTCACCTCAACCTTTACATATTTTCCCCTCCCCATCAGTAAGACCTTCACTCTTGAGTTGATAGAATCCATGCAAAAACCCATTAACTCTTCTTCTAAGGAGTCGCCCGCATTCTCACCCTAGCATCACTTTCATTCCACTTTCCTTTTTCCTCTTCTCTCAATTGTAAACCACCACCACCCACTTCAAGACCAACACTCCAATTTCCATTCTCCTTATCCTTTTCACAATTAATTTTCACAAAATACTGAACCTCCAAACCATTACTTTCCTTCTTCCATTTGGCCCTCTTACTTTCCCTAAGCCTAGGAAACACTAATTGTGTGGGATTGAAGGAAAGAAGGACACAAAGTAGAGGCGAATAAGAGATCAAATTGTACAAGGAATCATTATCCTCAAGTAAGTCATAAAACCACCCTTTCTACCCTATTCTAAATTCGAAATCTATGTGATAGAACTGGTGTTATATCAAGTAGAGAAATTGAACACACGAGACCTTTTGGCCCAGAATCTCTGGATTTTCTGTATTAATCATAACACTGAAAGGAAGTATACAACTACTGGTACTGACATATTTAAAGCACAATCACTCAATAAAAAGAAGTACAAAGATGACAGAAGGACCAGAAAAAAGAAAATAAGTTCTGTACAATTTGAGAGGCATTAACTCTCCTAATTCCAGTACAATTTCCAGCCTAACCTTCTCCACGCATTGCTTGTTTATTTAAGCTCTCAATTAACTCCCTTGGCCGGGGTTGAGATTCCCTCTCTCCTTTAAACAGAATTCCCCTTCTAGAATATTCTCTTGATCTGCTGAGTCATCTCTATTTCCTGATCTTCTACAATTCTATAATAAGTCCTTAAGGAAGTTGTATCAATAGTTCCCCCCAAGACTTTCACCTTGTCCTCAAGGTGGAAATTAGGGAACTGGGCATTAAGCTGGGCTGAATTCTCCCAAGAATTTTCAAACGATGGGAAATGCAACCACTTGATCAAGACCTCAACGGTTTCAAAAGGAGTCTTGTGCCACTACAACACCTTCTCAGGCTCAACTCTATAATAAGTCCTTAAGGGAATTGTATCACTATGTTTTGGAGATGATTGCATGGTTTTGATTTCGCATGGATCATTTTCTTTGGGGAGGAAAATGGGAATAAGGTTGTGCTGTGTGGTTGGAATCTCTATCATGCATGATCATACTATATGATAAATGCATTGTACATTGTTGTTTTAAGAATTTGGTTTAGTATGGAGTACATGCATGTCTCTTAAACTTTAGAGGGTGTAACGTGGTGTGTTGGGACTGGTACTATTGGGTTTTTGGGCTTGGAAAACCCTTGGTCAGTTGCAGAATTGAAAGTCTGCATTCTGGTGTTGCTCGCTGGACTTGTTCGCTTCAGCGAGCAGCATGCTCGAAAGGAATGCTCTCTGGTATTACTCGTTGAACTTGCTCGCTCTAGTGAGTGTCTCAGTGAGCAATTCACTGAAAACTGCTCCCTCTGATCTTCCTTACTGGCCCTGCTCACTCCATCAAGCAACCTAGCGAAGATATCTACATATTTAGTTTCTACTCATGTGGTTGCATTTGCATATTTCATTCAATAATTGCTATCATCAATGTATAGTGTCTATTTTCCAGATTTTAGCAGTATTATATAGTTATTGGTGCAATGCTCAAAAAATATAGGGTCTATGAAATCATACTGTAAAGAACCTTAGGATACACCACCCCAAAAAGCTAGCTCAAAGGGTGGGAGTGCCCAAAACCTTATAAACTTCAAATTAGTTTCACATACAACCAACGTGGGACTATATATCTCAACACATACAATAACTATAGATGACAAGTATATATATATATATATATATATATATATATATATATAGGCAAAAGTATTTCTACAACAACTTTAGATAAGTTTATCTACAGCTGCCATTTTTAACTATATTCTCCCGGGAGAATATAGTTATAACGTTAAAATTGCTCTTTTTTCTCTCTCCTCATTTACTTTTCAGAACTTTTTTGCTGATGTGGAGAAAGAGAAAAGAGCAACTTTAACGTTATAACTATATTCTCCCAGGAGAATATAGTTAAAAATGGCAGCTGTAGATAACCTTATCTAAAGTGGCTGTAGAAATGTTTACCCTATATATATATATATATATATATATATATATATATATATATATATATATATATATATTAAAAATGGCAGCTGTAGATAACCTTATCTAAAGTGGCCGTAGAAATGTTTACCCCAGATATATATATGGGGTAAACATTTCTACGGCCACTTTAGATAAGGTTATCTACAGCTGCCATTTTTAACTATATTCTTCCGGATGAACATAATTATATTATAATATTAAAGTTGATTTTTTTTATCTCTCCTCAATTACTTTTCAAAACTTGTTTGCTGACGTGGAGAGAGAAAAAAAAGCAATTTTAATGTTATAACTATGTTCTCCCGGGAGAACATAGTTAAAAATGGTAGTTGTAGATAATCTTATCTAAAGTGGCTGTAGAAATATTTTTTTCATATATATATATGTTTTTTTTTTTTTTAGTCCAATGGCAGAGCTGGTTGCTTGATATTATAATAGTCGGGACAAGTTCTTGAATTATGATAGAGCACAAGTGGTAGTTTTACAATTTATTGGTATTCACGTCTCACCCTATTGGAATTTTATTTCAGGAACTCAAGACAAGGTTAGCGGCCCACGTAATACATGATTGTGTGTGCATTGGATTATTGATAGTGCAAGTAGCTTGATTTAGAAAGTCATGACTCTTGTACTTGATGAATGTTGTAAGGATTCCACATGTATTATTTTGATGGTTTTGAGATATCACGTATAAATCTATGGATATGCTAAAACAGCTTGAGCTTCTTGTAATTGCGGATTTTCGGCGTTAAACTTGATGTGTGTGTATTTTAGTTATCTTGTGTTTCATCCAATTGTAGCGTATCAGTGTTAAGTTGGGTTGTTACATCAACTATATCTATTTACTGTTATACCAAAGAGAGTTTATGTAAAAGTGATAACTGATAAATGCCAAGTCTCATTCTCAGTCATTTTTGTATGTATTTTAATTTTAAAATTTTCAAATTTAAATTAAATTTTATCCATCACTGTTATAATATATATTATCTCTTTGAATAATAATTTATTAATTATTCTAAATTTTAATTTGAATAATATTCATGTATGTTCCTTATGATTATGAATAATATTTTTCAAAAATAAGAGTTCAATTAAAATTGACATCATTGATTTCATTTTGTACAACTGATAATTTTTTTTGAATCATATTTTGCTCGTGATAACATAAATAAATTTTTTAATTATTATTTATTATATTTTTACGTATTTTTTAACATTTCTCTTGTTTATTTTGATTTTTAAAGTTTAAAATAAACAACCGATGATAAATTGGTATAATAGTATTAAAAAAATGACAAACATAAAATTCTTGCAGCCTAGTATATATGTTAAATGTAATTATAAATGAAATTTAAATTAAAAATTTGTTATTTTATTGTTTGTAATATAAAAATATGTTATGTTTAGAGATAACAAAAATTTCCCTTTTTAAATGTATTTTTCATAATACTTACATAGTGGAACCTAGTGTTTTTCCGGAGATACATAGTGTAGTTTGTAAACAAAAAATTTGTAAATATAACACTCCTCATATATATATATATGAGGTTTAATAATCTCATGTTACATGAGATAGTACTCTCATGTGAGTGACACAAATATATGAAGTCCACAATGTATAAAGAAAAAGAAAAGAAAAAATTGATATAAAATTTTATGTGTGTATGATATAAGATAATTCTCTTATGTAATATGAGGTTATTATTTCTCTCTCTATATATATAATATTTTTGTAGGCCATGAGTTCGACATGGTACAAAATCCTAGCCACGAAGGTAAAAAAGTACTACGAATTTGTGCCTCTTCTCCTTCAGTTCTTGTCCTCGTATCCTGAGTAATAATCATAAGAAGTTAAATAAAAGAAAAGGAATTTAAATATCTCCTTATCTATCTCACATTTCCAATTAATTTTATAATCAGTTCAAAAAATTGAAACTTATAAAAATACAGGAAAGTTAATTCTTCTAAAAAAAATAACTAGAGTTGTATTAACTCAAAAAAAAATTGAAATTAAATACGGCTCGATTGAGATAGGATGCAAAATTCCCCTTTCTCTCGGAATGATCACGCTCCCAACTTATAGTGCATATATAAAAGAGTACACTGTTGAACTTGTGTACATCTGATAGGTTCCTTTTTAGCAAAAAAAAATAAGCTTAAGGAAAAGAGAAAAATAAATTAAATGAAGCAATTTTCTGATATCTTTTCATTCATAATGGATCTTTAAATAAAGATTACAATTGAAGCATAAACAGTAAAAACATAATGGAGAATAACTACCCAACTAAACAATACAAAAAACATGGAGATGCAGTTAGATATTCATGGGATCATGGGTTTGTATCATTCCCCTCTCCATCAAGATCAACCTTGTCCCCAAGGTTCTTGACGTACCTAAGATTGGAGAAGGTCATTTGATGTTGGGTCAGGTTGATTATCATCAAGGAGTAAAAGAGTGGAAGAGTTTTTGCACTTATGGCCACGAGAGAAGTGTTCATTGCAATTAAAACAGAGCCCTTGTTCTCGTCTGACTTTCATTTCTTCTGCGGTTAATCGTCGAACAAATGGTAGGGGATTTGATGGTGAAGTGGATACAAATGAGAGGTCAGAGAGTTTGTCTTCTTGGAGTTTGGCGAGACCCTGGGCTTGAAAGATGGTTGTTGGTTGGAGAGCTTGTACCTCTTTTCGGATTGTAGGTTTAAAACCAGAGATAAAGTTGTGAAGTATGAACTCTTATAGGAGGTTGGAAATGCGATTTGCTAGGGACTCGTATGCAGTGATGTAGGCTTGAACAGTAGTCGTCTGTTGGAGTTTTGCAAGTGATCCCATGTGATCAACGTAGGGAGAATCACCAAAACGGGCTTCAAGTGCCATAATGAAGTCGTGCCAGTCATGGAAGGGGTGGTTGGAGTGCATCCACTGGAACCAAACAAGGGCTGGTCCGTCTATGTGAAAAGAGGCAATCTGAAGTTTTTGTTGTTGTGGAGTATGGTGAAAGTCGAAGAACTGTGTAGCTTTGGAGAGCCAGCCGGAAGGATTGGTTCCATCAAAACGTGGGAAGTCAAGTTTGAAGGATTTAGGTTGAAGGACAGGTAGGAAATGTGGAGGTGGTGGTGGCGGCGGCGGAGGTAGGTTATTGGTGGTTGGGGTGATATGCATGAGTTGATCAATACAGCCTATTAAAGTGGTAAGGGTAGTCTGAACCTCATTAAGGCGGTGAACGGTCTGATTGGATTGTTTAGTAAGGTCGGAAATTCATGTGGAAGTTTTTGCGGATGTTTCACGAAGTTGGTTGATTTGGGAAAGAGCTTGGGTAGAGTTTTCAAAAAGTTTGTTGATTTGTGTGGCATGAATTTCTTGGGTTTCTTCAAGTTTTCTGAAGCGTGTTCCTTCAGCCATGGATGAGAAGAGTGAACTCAATGAAAGCACCAAATGATAGGTTCATTTTTAGCAAAAAGGATAAGCTTAAGGAAAAGAGAGAAATAAATTAAATGAAGCATTTTTCTGATATTTTTTTCATTCATAATGGGTCTTTAAATAAAGATTACAACTGAAGCATAAACAGTAAAAACATAATGGAAAATAACTACCCAACTAAACAATATGGAGAATAACTACCCAACTAAACAATACAAAAAACATGGAGATGTAGTTACATATTCATGGTATCATGGGTTTGTATCAACATCATCGCCATGTGATATATTTTTTTAAGACATTTGTTAGAGGAGAGATTTTGTTGTTTTTACTAAATATTACAAGAAAGCTATTTGGTAGGTCAAAATATTCTCAAGAATGATAGTTTAAGTTTTCTGATTCTATGTTTGATTGATTGTTAATAATTCTTGAGAATGTAGATTGATTTTACAAAATTAATTTTTGATAAATTTGTGAATTTTTTTTTCTAATATACTATAAAAGGGTCAAAAAATGCAGCATAGGAGATCACTGGAGCAAAACCCAATAACACTTATTTGGTGGTATTATTTCATGAAAATTTTATTCACAATTTTAATTTTTAAAAGAATCTCATTTTTCAAGAAAATTTTAAAAATCTTTATACCAAATATAAATAACTTAGATTCATAATATACATTTTTTTGGGAATATAAAATTTATCTCTCTAGCTGCATAAAGATCAAAGATTCTAATTTTAACGGTAATTAGAGATGAAACAGTATCCCTAGCTATTAGGGGTGTTAACGAGCCGAGCTTTGGTCTTAACGGGCCGAGCCTGTGTTCAAATGTGTCAGACTGGCCTTAGTCTGTTACCTGTTACGAATATAATATCAGCATGTGGCCTAACTTATTTACAAAAAATAAAAGCCTTGTTTAGCCTGTTAGCCTGTTTAAAAAAATAAGACAACAAAAATTTATCCAAACAAAATATACAATCAACAGCACTAGTAATTCCATAAATATTCATAAATTTAATGTATATTCAAATAGCATAATATAAAACAAAATCATTTAAAAAGTCTGTTTAATTAATAAAATGAGATGAAATGAATTGAGAAGAGAGAGAGCTATCACAAGTAGTATAAAAAATAAATAAATAAATAAATAATATATTAGGCAAGCCTGAGAGGCTCTAAGGCCGAGCTTTTGAATTGGAGCCTGAGCCTTTTTATTAAACGAGCTTTTATACAAGTCCAAGCCTTGGTCCAACAATCAATTTTAGATATGTAAGCTCAGGCCTTCACGAGCCGAGCCAAAGACCCCTACTCATCTAACACCCCTACTAGCTATCAATCGCTATCTCCGTGATTATCATCATAGTGAGTATGCACAAGAGGACAATATATTTTTCTACTCATTCACGAATCGTTAATTGTTTCTTCTTACAAATTTTATGACACCTTTTGTCCACAATGACATAAATATGATAATGTTTGAAAGGTAAGTTATAACTTCTAACAAGCCTAGCTGTATACCATATTTTTAAAAAGGAAAAAACAAGCATCATGTTGTAGAAAAATTCTCTTGTCATGTTATATAGAGACAATAAGTGTGGGGTCCACCATATTTAAAATAAAAAAAAAAGTACAGCACAAGTATCAATATATGTGTAGAAAATTTTGTATTTGTTATGCAACATGACAAATGCAAAACCCTTTTAAAAAACGGAAGATAAGATATTTAAAATTTAAGCAATTATGCTATGTAAACTTTAACTTATATATATATTTTAAGGAGCATGTTATATTTACAAATTTTTTTATTTATAAACTCTTACAAACTACATTATCTTCTCCCAGGAAAACACTAGGTTATACTAGAAGATAATGTAATTTGTAAAACGGATCATTCCCTATACTCTAATATTGTTGAACATTTATCATTAGTTATTAAATTGAAATAAATTATTTGAGTGACTTTATTTTTTATTTTATTCTTTTTCACGGAATAACGTGTCATTCTTATCTCTCTTTTTTTAATTTCAAATTCAATTGATTTTTTCAATCTGACTTTTAAATATATTATTTATTAAATTTTAATCGAATTAAAAATAAAAAAACTCATACTAGTAATTGTGAGAACTGAGACAGAAGTCAACTTGGTTAAATAGATAGGTAATTTAATTTTTAGTATTGGATTAGACAAACAAAAAATTGAAAAAGAAAAGTTATAAAAACAACTGATATTTTTATTTTCAATTTGATAAATACGGACGGGGTTTCTTTGGTTTTTACCAAGTCAAATTGGTTACATTTTCTGATTTTTACTCGAATTTGATTAACAATACCAAATTATTCAAGCGAATAGTTCAAGTGGCCAATTTA